GCAGACTCCACCTCTCAGTGAGAGGATTGTGGGAGAACCTGCAAATACCATGCATCCAGGATGGCCAAGCTGCCATGTTGCTTAGTGATGGGGGTGGCTTGGAAGGCACCTCAGACCCCTTTGCTTATGCCATAGGGTTTACAGACAATGGAGAAATAACTGACAATAGAAACCTTGGGGAGGGATGCTCTACTTAGAAGGAGGACATACCTCAAGTTACAAGGAAAATTAGCTAGAACTCTATTTATATTTGTAAGGAAAATTGTATCCATGTAACAAATATGCCTTATACGTGTGTGAGCAATTTTAAAAGAAAAATTATACCACTGATTTAATTAATGAAGCATTGGTGTGTGTGACATACCAGGACTGGGGAAGAGGAGAAAACTAAAGCAGAGATTTCCAGCACTTTTATTTTCCTACCACAAGTTCCTCCAAGCTGCTTGTAAAATAAAGTGAATTGGCTGGATTGTTAAAAGAATACCAAATGTGTCATGTAGAACCCTGAAATGGAGATAGAAGAAAACAGGTAAGAGGGAAGAAGAATGAAAAGACCAGTAATAGAAAATCAGTTCCCAAAGGATTGTGGGTTATCGCATTTGGTCGTATGATTGTTCGGAGCAGCCTGCAGGGTGAGCACTGACAGAAAGTGGCTGAGAGCATAGACTCTGGAGTGAGCCACACTGCCAGGTTCTGGCTGCAGCTCACCATCCCCAGCTGTGTGAGGGCCAGCCAGGCCCTGTAGGTGCCTCTCTGTGCTTTTCCTCCATTGCAACAGGGAGCTAATGGTGGTGCCTGCCTCATCCACTTGTTATGAGGATTGTGTAAGGTATGTAGGAAGCACTCAGTACACATTAGCCATTTCTCTCGTCACCAACTCCCTCCTTGCCTTTGCCAGATGCAAATATCATGCCCAATATGGACTGTGGGCAACCGACCAAAGAAACAGAAGGAGGAGGGCCTTTTCTCCCCCTGGGTCCTGGGATCCTGTGTGCATCGGAATTCTAGGTATGAGGAGGCCTTCACCGACATCTGGGCTCCCATCAGCCTATGGGTTTCCACCCCCCGCCATTTGTCCTTATTCCAACATGCTCTAAAAATCAGTTCCACATTTAAAGCACGTCAAGCTAGATTTTAGTTTTAGTGTCTCTTATATATTTGGAATTAGAACCTCCAGAGGCCATTATGCAAATCAATGCAAATACATGCAAAAAGGCCTTAGCCCTGGATTGTGGGGCACAGAGTGAGCAGGGCAGCACAAAGGTCCTGGGATGAAGCCTTGCTTCTGTTGAGGGATGGAAGGCCTGGCACGGCTACTGCGACAGGATGCTGCCCATGCATTCCGCGGCCGGCCTTCGGTGCACCGGAGGAGAGGTGAACTCTGGTCTGATTTCCACACTGAAGGTGACACTGGAGGCCGAAGGTGTTTGGGCAGTGCCACAACTTCGTAGCACCTTTCATGATGCAAATGAAAGTTGCTTTGAAATAACAACTGCAATCCAGACTGTCTCCAGACAGCTGTGTGTTTTTGGACAAGTGCCTGCACGCCTCCTCTGCCTGCTCTATGAAATGAGGAGTTGTGTTGAGTTACCTGTAGGGCCCTTGCACAGTGACAGCTAGATGTCTTCCTCCAGGTGAAAACCCTCTGCAGCCGGGATGGCAGGATCAGTTCATTGTTCCAAAGGGCTACTCTGAAATCTAAAGAAGAAATGGCTAAGAGATCATTTAACAGTTCCCCTGGAGAGAAAAATACTTTAGGGTGTGCAAAGGCAAACAGACTTGCTTACACTGTAAGTCTTACAGCGAGAGGGTTCAGCCCTGCACCTCCTCGCTGGGAGGGTTCTAGCCCTGGAGGTACTCCTGGTGGGAGAGTCAGGGGGCATTTCTTCCCCTGCTTATTATAAAGCATCCTCTGCCCCTGGAGTGCTGCAAAAGTTCTAGAGACCGGGGTTGCTCCTGTCCCACCTGGGCCTGTCACTGGGGTCACTTGGGGGCTCCCTGAAAGCTTGGCACTGCCCTTCCCACTGCCACAAGACCATGGTGCCCTTGGTCTCCAGCCTCTGGTTGTACTGAATACATCTGGTGCTCCACCGCAGGAATTCTCTGGCCCTTACCTTTAATGCCAGCTGCCATGGCAGCCACCAGCTGGGGGCCAGTGTCACCAGAGGGCCCCTCTCTAACTCAGCCCCATGAGAGGAAGTGCCGTGGTAGGGGCACCCATGGAGCAGCCGTGGGCCCTCGGGGATGGGAGCTGCTGAGTAAGTGCTCATCTTACCTGGATGCTGTGGGGTGCATCTGCTCGGCCCCTCAGACATCCCCAGTGAATTTGCATTGCCCACTCTAATTAGCTCATAACTCGCCCTTGGATTGATTGTCTGTGTTTCACTCATCACAGCCCAGACACCCATCACCGCCCCCTCAGATCGCTTCCCCAAATACACTGGCTGCACACAAGCCCCTGTCTCCACCTCTCTTTTTTTTGGGGGGGGGGGGGGAGGGTCTCTAATGTAAGTCATCTGGGCTGCCATACAAAGTTCCCCAGACAGGGAGCTTCAACAACAGAAATTTGCTTTCTCACAGTTCTGGAGGCTAAAAGTCCAAGGTCAAGAGGCTGACCATATTGGTTTCTGATAAGGCCTCTGTCCCTGGCTGCCGGGGCTGCCCTCTCACTGTGTCCTGCATGGGAATTCGAGTGCTCCTGGTGTGTCTCTGGGCCCTAACGTTGTTGTTGTCGCCAGGACCCAGTCAGGGTGGATCGGGGCCCCCATCGTGGCTTCATTTTGTCCTGATCACCTCTTCAAAGTCTCTGGCTCCGAACACAGTCACACTCTGAGGTGCTTGGGGTTAGGGCCCCCACATATGAATCTGGGGGTGCCCGGTTGGGTTCACAGCAACACTTATATCGAACCAAGGCACTCAGGGGCCAGACAGAGGCTTATAACGGAATGTCCCTCAAAACATCAGAGGTCTCGATACCAGTTCTTAGACTGTCCCTGTGGTGTAAGCCGCAAGGGAGAGGCTGAAGGACCTCTCCCTTGGACTGGGCGGGGCATAGCGGTGCCTCGTTTCTTCTGTGGGTGCGACTCCACGCCCTCTTCTTCCTCCTCCTGTAGCATCGGAGATGTCCAACCAGGAAAAGCGTGCGTTTTGGAGACAGCCCTGGTTTCATATACTTCCGATACTGTGGGGCTCTGAACGTGTTACTTCATCTCCCTGAGCCTCATTTTCCACCCGTTCCCGTGGCTGGAAGGATGAAGTCAAGCGTGAAAAACTGGGCTGGAGCGGGTGCTCAGTAAACAGTTTTTAGGGTTTATTTGAATGAGCAGAGCACACTGTTGATATATGGGCTAGATCACAAATGAAAGCTTAGAAAAAAATAGGTGGTTTAGGGCAAATTGTCAGTCCTAGAGATCGTGGGTGCTACAGTCTATGTTGGATCTACTGTCCCTCAGCCTCCCCCAACCCCCTAATTTACAAGTGCAGGGTGAGGTGGACACCCGTCCACTCCGGAACCCCACCCCACCCCTAAGCTGGAGGCGGCCCCAGTGGTGATCTGGGCCTTGCTTCAAAGGCATGTCAGGAGATGGTCGCCCCCTCTCTGCTTCTGGAAGCTCACCGGGGCCCCTGCCTTCCCCTGTGAGCAGCTTTGCTGACTGCCCCAGACTCCCAGGCGTCACCCCCAAGACCCCAGCTCTGGCCATCAGTCCTGCTGGACCGTGATGGAGGGAGGCTCCAAGAGGGTGACCAGACAGAGACAGATCTCTGCTGTGCTATAGCTGTGGCGGCTAGCAAGGTGGAAGGAGGGTCATGCAAGTGACCATGGCAGGGCTCCTGCGAACCAGCAGGAGTTCCCGGTCAGAACGAGACCCTGGGGGCTGCCCCTTAGCTGGACACTCCAGCTCTTTCCGGGCCCCGTGCTGCACAGGGGTGGCCAGTCTTCCGGTCTCTGGTCTGAACAGACCCTGAGTCTCACGTTTATGTGAGGTGTTACTTTGAAAGATAGGCACCGGCTGTCGTGATAAATAAAGTCCACATATATCTAGAATTGTTTTTAAATTTCTTTTTTTAACTTGCGTATTTTATGAATGAACTAAAAGCATGCCACTGACCTTTGGGCAAAATCCATGACTTTTTTTTAATGCTCAAAAGGGCTTCTTCTGTGCAAAAGGTCTGGGCATCAGCAGTGGTATCCCAGAGTTCAGCGCCATGGGGAAAGCAGTGAGCACTGACGACAGCCACAAAACCAGCTGGCCTTCGTGGGGTGCCCCCTCGGGGCTCTGCTCAGTGCTTTGCTGATCTGGTTGCCCTCCTCTGGACCCCTGTCCCCTGTGTCTGTCGGTCTCCAGTGGCACTGGGACATCTCTCCTAGTTGTAGGGTTGTTCGTGGATTTGTGTGAGCAAGTTCAGTGACAGAGACTGCCCTGTCGTTTTGGGGCCCTGCAGGGTCCAAGAGAGGGCAGACCCTCCTTAATTGTCAGGTGGGCATGAACTAACAGAGGTCTGTCTGTTTGTTCCTTTGAGAAAAGACATGGGAGCTGGCCAGCTTCGCCCACCTAAGCCTCCCTCACCTGACTCGGGGTGGCTCACACAGAGCTGCCGGCTTCCCTCTGGTCAAGCTGGCCTTGACCCCATCCTGGCTGTGGAGGGCCAGCAGGCACTCAGAGACCACAAACTGCCTCCCACTCCTAGCCCCAGCCTGTTTGGAGAAGCTGCCTCAGGCGGAAGGCTGGTGGCATTTGGGAAAGGCTGGGCCTGGCCACTTCAGCTGCCTCTGGTCCCCTGGGGCTGGGTTATCCTCCCAGCAGAGCTGGTGGGCACCTACCTAACAGACCTGCCGAACTCCACGAGTCTGCGTCTGATGCGGGCAGGGGCAGCGTGGACCTCAGGAGTGCTCCCGATGTTCCCCAGAGTCCGTGCACCTCACAAGCTCCAGGGGTAGGGAGGCCCAGGCGCTGAGCCGCTCCCCAGGTGTTCACCTCCTCTCCCTGTCTCCCTCTCAGGCTTCCTCCTGACCTTGGCCCTGACCGAAGCACTGGTATTTGCTGCCCAGGAACCATCTCCCAGGGAGTCTCTTCAGGTCCTACCTTCAGGCACCATGGTGACAGCACCACTCAGCTCTGCCAAACACTCATCCGAGATGGCTGCCCCCACCTCTGTGGTGACACCGAGCCCCCGTCCTGATGGGACCTTCTCACAGGCTGAGGCCCCCGTGGCAACAACACCCTATGCAGACGGACACCCTCCTGCCAACACCTTCTCCACCATGTTGGCGGCAGCAGCCACCCGTCATGCTGAAGGCCCCCCCACCACAGGGCCCCATCCTGCTGCCATGGCAACCACATCCTCCCACTCAGAGGGCCACCCCCTGGGGGAGGCTGGGCCCACCATCCTGCTGACAAAGCCAACTGGAGCCACCAGCCACCCCGCCACCGCACCCCCTCGGGCCAGCACCCGCAGGCCCCCCAGGCCCCCAGGCTCTTCCCGAAAGGGGGCTGGTGGTTCTTCACGCTCCGCCCTGCCTGCGCTCAGTGGCCACTCTGGAAGAAAGGAAGGCCCGCGGGGAAGAAACCAGAGCTCCACACTTGCAGGGCAGAAGCAGTCCCTGGGGAAAATCTTTCACTTCTACAAAGGCAACTTCACAGGCTCGGTGGAGCCCGAGCCCCCCAGCCCCAGCCCCCAGAGCCCGCTCTGGGATTTCTCCTCCTCGCCACAGACCCCGACAGCGGCCACAACCAGGGCACCTGGCAGGACCTCGTGGGCACCGAGCACCACCCCCTCGGTGCGCACAGAAGACAGGCCCAGCCTGAGCAGAGCAGACCAGGGGGGTGGTCCCACCTTCACCAGCCGAGGGGGGGCGCCAGGCGCCACAGCAGCCTCAGGTGCCCCTGCCAGTCCACAACCCGCCCCAGTGCCTTCTCAGCGCCCCCGTGCTGACCCACCTGGCAGCACCGGCCACAGTGACTCCTGGCTGGCTGTCACCCCTGGAACCAACAGACCTCTGTCTGCCAGCTCGGGGGCCTTCATGGCCACCGTGGGGCCCACCCAGGCTGCCTTCGATGCCAGTGTCTCAGCCCCTTCCGAGGGCATTCCTCAGGGAGCATCCTCCGCCACATCCTCCACCCCGCAGGCCCCGGCCCACCCCCCCGGGGTCTCAGAAAGCACTGTTTCCCAAGCTGAGGAAGAGGCTGTGGCCACCCCCACCGTGACCAACAGGGTACCCAGTCCTCTCTCCACAGTGGTGTCCACGGCCACAGGGAACTTCCTCAACCGCCTGGTGCCCGCAGGCACCTGGAAGCCTGGAACAGCAGGGAACATCTCCCATGTGGCCGAAGGGAGCAAACCCCAGCACAGAGCCACCATCTGCCTGAGCAAGATGGACATCGCCTGGGTGATCCTGGCCATCAGCGTGCCCATCTCCTCCTGCTGTGAGTGCCCGCCCTCTCCCCATGCCTCCCTCCCCTCCTCCTTCCCCTCCCTCCACCCCATCAATTTGTCCCTCCCCAGAATCCCCTTGCCCCAGAGTTGGTAACTCCCCACAGAGTGGGCTGCAAAACTCCTCAGAATCCCAGGGAACAAGGTGGCAGAACAAAAACCAGAGCTTATCCCAGCCCCAGTCCTCGGCCCCGCCAGGCCATGGCTCAGATGCCCACGGGCCATAAGGCACAGCTCCCAGGAGCCGGGGCGGCCCGCAGGGGCAGTCCAGTTCACGCCTGCCTTTCGCAGGAAGAAATACCAAGCTGGAGAGGCGACGTGGCTAGTCAAGGCCCCAGAGCTGGAGAGAAGCAGGCTGGGATGAGAGCTTACAGCGCTCATCTTCCAGCCCAGCACTCTAGTCAGGACACCACCCTGCCCTCAAGGTCACCTGCTAATGCCGCAGCAACAGGGCAGCCAGGCCCTGGTGAGGTCGGCACATTGACAGCAGAGCCCTCGCCTTCTTCCCTTGCATCACTCCCATCTCCCTTCCTGCCTTCCTCTCCTCCCTTGGCTCTCCCCCACCCCTTCCCCAAGAAGGAAGAGGAGATGAAGCTTTGATCCTGCAGTAAGTTCTATTAGCCTTGGCAAAATATAGTTCTTGCACCTAATTTGAGGCTTCAGAGTCACCTGTGGATTTAGCTGCTCTCCCTTCCCCACCCCTCCCTTCTATTTGTCCCTTGGTGGTGTGAGCTGCACACAGTGTGGACCTCATCTCTGCCACTAGTGTTGGAGGAGCAGGGCTTTCCCCAGGCGAGCAGCACCTCCTTGCTGCTGCCTGTCACTCCTTTAATGAGGAGTCGGGAGGCTGGCTCCCTGATGTCTCCATAGAGAACCTGACAATCCCTCAGCACCCTAGGGCGCCACTTATGTTTTGCCCAGGTACCTGACCCTAGACTCTTAGAATGTCCCTGATAACCCCTCCGGAGCCCTCACTGACCTCAGCCTCATCCCACCCCCACGCAGTTGCCACCCAGCCTCCCTCTGAAACTGTGCTCCTCACTCACTGGACAGCCCGTCCTCCCTCTGGTGGTTACCCAGCTCTCCTGGGGGCCTGACATTGGCCTCCCTGTAATTTTCCCTCTCTGGTCCCAAGCCATGCCCCCCGAAGCTACGCAAAACCAGTCAGTCTACCAGCCCCTGAGATGTTTTCAGTGGCTCTCTCATGGTCAGCCTCCTCTTTTTCCAAGCTGCTTGTTTCTGTGCCTACTAGTCTCTTCACGGGACAGCATGGTGCTGGCCTGCCCCCTGCCCCCTGGGTGGTCTCCAGTTTATCCTTGCTCCCTGAAGGGAGAGGACAGCACTGTGCATGCCCGGCCCCATTGGCCCCATTCAGGCAGCACACACTGGCATTGGCTTTGTTGGCAGCACTGACTGCCGTGTCCCACCACGGGCTCCCCCAGTTCTCAAGAGGGACGACGCCCAGAAACTTCACAGGTGGTTTGAACATTAGGGCAGGAGGTGCACGCCTTCGACGTGAATGTGGTCTCTGCTTGGCCTTGTACTCCCACAAGACCTTGTTGATCTGGACTCTGGGTCCTTTCCAGGAGCTGCCTCTCCCAGCTTTCCTTCTCCTAGTGAAGAAGCAGCGCAGACCTCCCACGTCAGCGGGGGAGGGGGGGGCAGCCTGCTTCTGCTCGGGGACCCCGTTCAAGGGCAAGGGCCAACGCTCGCAGAGTGCCTCTTTTCTTGTTTCATTAGGCAACTTCGTTGTCTCTCCTGGAAACACACGCGTGCTCTTAAAACTGTGGTTGCCCACTTCTAAAGCAGAAGAATGATGATGAGAAAATATTGCACTATTAGCCAATAAACAATTGATAATGGTCATATTGGAGAAGTGACCACATGAGAGACAGCGTTCTAACTTTCCATTCTTTGTAAGTGTCTGGAGGCTCTCATTCCCGAAGTCAGTTCCCATGACTTTTAATCATTCCAACCTTAGAACAGACTAGCCAGAGGAATAAAGTAAAGACACACATAAGTGAATACACAGTGCAAGGAACACACCTTAAAGGCGGGCAGCAAGTCCCCAGGTGAAGTGACTTGCCCGGGGCCCCGGTCACGGAAGAAGCAGCCCGGATCTGGTGGTAGAATGTGTGACCGAGTGCAGTTCCTCCCGAGCGCCCGTTGTGTGCCTGGCACTGCGCCGCCGAGCACCAGGGAATCAGAGGCTGAATCGTGGCTGCCCCACTCCCAGCGCCCTCCCCCACCCTCCTCGCTTCCTCTTTCCCTGGCCTGGATGGCTCAGAGTAGATCTCGCCTTTGCCCCCTACAGGCCACACGTGGGTTTGGCAATTCTAAAAACACCACTCTAGCCCTTTTGCTGCGTGTGAGTGTGAGATCAGGTCAGATCTTACTGCAAAGCCAGGAAACCCACAGGCTGCCCAAGCCGTGTGAAACATTGTCAGCTGGGACCAAAGCAAGGACACGGCCTGGGCCTGCATCTGGAGAAGGCTCCTAGCAGTGATGGCCTGCGTGAAGGGTGATATAAACCTTTGCTCAAAGCGGACTCTTGCGGCCCCTGGGAACCTCAGAAGCCCTTTGCGTTTCCACCCTCCTCAGACCCCGAGGCTCCTGCCTCAGCCCTGGCTGCCTCTGCACACAGCTCCCTGTCTTCTGGGTGGCCCTGTCCTCTGTAGGGCCATTGTTTGCCCTGTGAAGGCCCAGAGGAGAGGAGCATTGAGACAATACTCGTCCGGCTGCAGAACGCTGTGCCCCTCCAAAGCTCGGGAGCGAGTAACCAGTCTCCTTTCAGGGCTCTGCCCCACTCTGGTCCTCAGGAGAGCAGACAGACCTCTTCCAGGTCTAAGGGTCCCCAGTCACACCTTCTGGGCAGCGACCTGTATCCTAAAGCTCACTCTGCAGCCCTCAAAGAAGGACCTCCTCCTTCGCCATTTTGCCAGATAGTTCAGCCATTCCAGATGGTAGCAAAGTACATGCATAGATTTTTCTACATGTGGCTTTTCAGACGGGCCCTGGCCCTGCTTTTCTCCATCCGCCAGAAGCCAGACCTCGGATGGCCCGGACTGCGGGCAGGCAGGTGCTCTGGCAGAAGCAGGGGGTGGTCACGGAAAATCTCAGGCCTGCCCAGATAGGGATCATCGGTTCCACCTGCCCTCCAGGTCGTGAGCCCCACCCAGTGGCCGAAGGGCAGATGTGCCAGGACGGAGGAATGCTTTGTCTCTGGAGCCAGGCCCCGGACAGCCATACAGGGTTTCAGATGGCTGAGAAACAAGATGGATTGGATCCAGACCGCGCTTGGCTGGGGCAGGGGAGCCCTGTGGCTCCTGAGCTGGTCTCTGCTGCCACCATGAGGACGCTCAGAGCCCACCAGACCCCGCTGGAGCCTCTGGGCCTGGCCAGGAATTGCTGACCCTCCCTCTCACCACTGTCAGCACCCCGGCTCTCACCAGGCGGTCAGCTGTGTCTGCGCCAGGCCCCCAGGCCACATCTAGTCTTGAGACTGTCTTCTCCCAGCCTCCCTGGGAGCTGAGGGGGCTTTATGGGAGGTGAGAACGGGAAGCCGGGCCAGTGTGCCTGCTTTTCGTCCCCAGTCCACAAGGAGCCCGGCCCAAGCAGAGCAGCAGAGCGGCTCCTGTGAGGGGCCTTGGGCTCCTCGCCTGGGGTGACAGACTTCCTTCCACAAGTGTGGCAAACATCACTGGCATGTCAGTACAGCATTCAGAGAGATGCCACACCCGTGTGCACAGCGCGGCGCTCGGCTCTGTCAGCTGTTCTGTGAATGGTCAGATCTGAATGTCTGCGTGCAGTTTACTCACGGGCCCAAAAGGACTGTAACTGTATAAGAAAACCTGGGCCAGAAGTGCTCTTTCGGCGAATGAAGTGAAAGAGATTGGGACCAGAAGGAAGTGTAAACCGAAGGATTGTGTCCCTGGGGCTTATGAACCAGTTGAAGGAGGGGCAGGGAGCAGCAGCCTTAGGACAAGGCAGGCTGTCCAGGGTGGGGTGGGGGGCCCTCAGCTGCACCAGGGTCACTCATGCCCAGGTTCTCACGGCTCTTCCCTGTGCTTCCCAAACAGCACCCCCTGGGGGAGACCTCCTCAGGCACGTTCCCACCGGCCAGGGTGGGGAATCAGAGAGTCAGTCCCCAGACCCTGTTCCCCCAGGCCCACGGAGCCCAGCCTGGCCTCCTTCTGTACAGAGACCCCTCCCCGGACCTCCCCCTCATCCTCCGAGGAGGGCACTGATCGCCCACAGCCTGGCTTGCCGCTCGGTTTGGCACCCCTGACCCATCCTTCCCTTGAGGGTCTCAGGTCTCTCATGTACAACATGAAGGGGCCACCCAGAAAAATGTCAGGGCTCCCTGTTCTCGCTAACCTTTCCTCACTTTCAACCTGCGTGGGCCCCCCGAGAGGAAGTCTGGGGCGACAGGAAGACTTGGCTTGGGGACCAAACACACCCAGATGTCATGCCAGCGCTCCCGCTTGTAGCCTGAGAGACTCGGCCGAGTTACCTAACCATCGATCCAGTGCCTTCTCACCTGTAAGAATAGGGCCAGTGTTTGCCGTGTAAGTTCGGGCAGACACCGAGACAGGGTTAGGCCTGCGGGAGGTTTACTGGGGAAACCCCTGTGACACGCATGAAGGAAGGGGCTGGAGAAGGCAGGGAGAGCCTCCGGCTGTAGTGCCGGCCTGACACCTGAGAAAGCAGAGGGGGAAGGAAGGAGCACTGGGCAGGAAGAGTCTTGGACTGCAGTGCAGCTTGAAGGAGGTTTCTGATGGGCCATCGGGGGCGTCCCCTGTCCTGCACGAGCCCCTGTCACCCTCAGTCACAGCCGAGAGCAGCGTGGCCTTGGCCCAGACGCCGTGCTGGGTCCAGAGGGTGGCAGCCAGGGCTGTCCCTGAGCCATGCTCCCCATGGCAGATGCTTCTAAGCAAAGCATCTGCACGGCTGCAGCGCCCACTCCAAAGCCCTGCTCAAACACCCAAGACGGTGCCGTGGAGAAGGCGCTCAGGAAATGGCGGTGGTCGCGTGGCCGTTGTTATTATCCATCTTACTGTTGTGGGGGTTTGCTGTGCAGGCTCCACAGGCCACGGGGAGAGTGCTTTCAGCAGGTGTTTGGAAAGGTCGAATCCTCGGGGAGCCTGGAGGATTTCATTTCCATTTCCTGTCACACAGTGAGTCCACCCCTGGAGTCATGGCTCTCCCAGAAATGTCAGCACATGCCCCAGGGCTCCATCTTTGAGTCAGCGGCCCTCCTCCTTCCTGCTACACATCTGACGGGTCATGGATGGTCCCCACGGACATGCCTAGGAAGCCGAGAGAACTTGCTTAATTCTCACTCCTATTTTAAAACTTGAAGGAACAGAGATCTCCTTGACTCCAGTGGAGTCTTGGCAGCTGTGGCCTTTGGCGAAACAGAGCAGCTGAAGCTCTTAACTAAATCAGAGCGGGGGCAGCTCACACCTTGTGTTTGCCTAGAGCTGTGCAGCTAACAAAGTGCCTCTCGTGACTGAGGCGCACTCCCTCCAGTGTTCTGGACAATATGGGAGAGCAAGCGTGAGCCCGAGGGTCACGGGCACTGGGTCCAAGTCCCAGCAATTAGCTGGGTGAGCAGGATCGGTTTTGTTAACTTCCACGAACCTCTTCTGGACATGGGAAGAGTAACAGCACCTGGCTCAGAAGGTCCCTTTGTGGGTTACATTGGACTGTGAGATGCCAAGGTTGGCACGGGGAATATGTTATAGACTCCGTAAGTCCGAGCGGTACTTTTCTTTCTTGGACGGAGGGTCGGGTCACTGAAATAAGGGAATATTTCTAAGCCACGGGTGGAGCCTTGGCCTGGCGCCACCCGACAGTCATGCAGCGAGTTTTCCTTTCCAGGTCTCTCTTGTGGGGGATGCTGGGAGGGGGAGAAGACCCTCGTTAATTAAGCACCTGTTGTGCATCAGCACGCGAAGCATTTCAAGTTTGTGCCTAACTTTCCTTACACAGCTGTAAAGTCCACAGTAATCAGTTTGATGAAGCGACTTTACCTAGTGTAATGCCTGGCAGAGGCAGACTTGAACCCAGGTCTTTTGGACTCCAAGCCCCTGCACTTTCTATGGCCAGACCTGCTTCTACTATGTCAGTGAAATGGCCCTGGAGAGGCACTGAGAACTTCTGGGAGAAATGCAGTCAGGACGACAGCACTAATAACACGTGAGGGAGAAAGAGCTGGAAAGAGAACACCCTGTTCCAACCCTCAGGCCATCCCACGAGAGTGCCACCCTTCCCACAGGATCCTGGTCCTGTGTCCCAAAAGACCCAGAGCTGGGAGCCAGGGCAGAGTGGACTTAGGGGGAGCACAGGCCTGGGGGGAAGAGGGACCAGGGACCTAGGTTCTGCCACCTGTGCCAGCCCAGGCTCACAGCCCCTAGTTTTGTTGCACCTAAGCCCTTTATGGCTGCTGTTTCGCCAGCTCGAACTCCCCAGGGTATTTCTCTACTGCAGTTCCAGGCACAGGGTGGAAAGGTGGTTGTGGTGAAGGATAAAGACACCAAAAATGGGGAGATGGGATCTGGGGGCTTGCACCAGCCTTGCCATCCACACCTGTGACCAGCAATGAGTCAGCCGGGTGCTTTGGATGCAGTGTCCTCATCTGCAGAGTGAGGAGGTGCCCTAACTGAGCAGCATTTGGGGCTGGGCTCTGCTGCTGCCCTACCCCCATCCCCTTTACCAGCAAAGGAAGGACTCTTCAGAAAGAAAGGGGAGAAAGAGGGGGAGACTCACAAAATTTCCAAAAGTCTATACCAGCCAGTCTAAAATTCCTTATAGTTCAAACATTCAGAAATTTCCTTTATATTTTTAAAACTTTTTTAAGGAGACCTGGAAGAATGGTGAGCAAATTAGAAGTCTTTTGATCAAAGCACATTGGATGGAATGGAAACTTGCCAGGTCTCTTGACTTTGTCTGGAGGAGGCCCTCTCAGGCTGAGACTCCCACTGGGAAGAGAGCCGCAGAATTCCACGTTTGGGGAGAATCACTCCCCCAGAGGCCTGGGGTGCAGGCCCCAAAGTCTCAGCCTGTGCGTGACCAGCTTTTGCAGCTACCCCACACACACCTGGCACGAGAAGGCCCCTGGTGCTGGCCCCGCAGGCTGCTGTGGACAGAGCTGACCCTCTGCTGCCCCCTGGTGGTCATGGCCATCAGGGTGCCAGGCTCTGTGGACAGTGCAGCTTGTGACCCTCTCCCCCCAGCACAGGTGGGTGGCACCTCCAGGGTGTTGGATGCCGCCCTGCCCACCCCTGGTCTGGTGTTTCAGCCACCTTACAGGCTCTGGTGGTGGCAGCCTGGACAGGAGACGCCCAGTCTTCAGTTACTGGCTTCTCCCCAAGAGGGGTCCTGTCACACTGGTCACTGCATCACCTGCTCCCCACTACGTGAGCCTGGACAGGCCTTCCCTGTTGGCCCAGGTCACTCTGTCCACACCTGGTTCATCAGCCGCATCCAAACACGTGCCCTCCTCCCCAATCGGGCCCCTCTGGGCTGTGCCGGCTGCTGCCTCGGCCTTCAGCGTGTCGGTGCAAGGCGGAACCGTGGAGGGTTAACAGCACAGACTTCGGAGTCAGATAATGTCGGGGTTTGTTCTCAGCCAAGTCACTTCACCTCTCTGAGCTCAGTTTTCCTGTCTGTAGTGTGGGGACCCCGATCCCAACAGTATTGAACTCATGGAGTTAAGTCAGGGATTAAATGAATTAATATTTATAAAGTGCTTGGAACCCTGCCTGGCTCATACACTGTGTAACTGTCAGTGGCTTTTTTTATGATGGTGATACTGATGGTGATGATGCCAGAGCAGCTTTTGAATCGGGCCCGAGACCTCTGCCCAGGATTCTGCTCCGTGAGCCTCTGCCCTCCAGGCCGAATGTGGGGGCCAGGACCCACTGGGCTCTGTCCCTCTTTCTGCCACTGGCAGCTCATCAGTCTAGCAGAGCCACTCGAGCCACTCGCACACGAGCCGTTCTCTGCAGCCAAGCTCCCATCCCACCGAAGGAGCACGGCCTCGCCTTGGAGCAGGCGCCGGGAGCAGCACCGCGCTCCCCACAGATCACTGAAATCACGTGGGGCCTCTTGCCCCCAGCCCTGTGGACACAGCCCCTGAACCCCGCTCTGGCCTCATCCCCACCTCACCCCTGCATACTCGCCGCCCCCACCCCAAGCCATGCCGCTCTTTCCTCACAGCAAGATCATCCCCACCTCGGGCCCTCGGCACCTGCCGTCTCCTCCCCCCGGAGCACACCGCCCCTGTTCGGCACAAGACCAGCGCCTCCCTCCTCTGAGCTCCAAGGTCACCTCCTCAGCGAAGCCTTTCGTGCTGGCTTGCTCTCTCCCCCAGCTCACGTCCGCGTCCATTGTCCCTCCCACTGCACGCTGTTTTATTTCCCCCAAACAGTTATCACTAGCTGAACTGCCTTCTTTATTCATTGTGTCTGTCGGGGATATATTGTTTGACACCCCCCCCGGCACACCTCCCCCACAGACACACTAGAAGGGAAGCTTATGAAGGCAGAGCACACTTGTCTTTCACCCCAGCACCAGTCACAAGGCACTCGGCATAGACAGGTGTCGAACAAACAAACAAGCGAATGAATGAAGGGGGTAAGTGGCTGAGTGTATGACATCCCCGCTGCTCTTGGAGACTGGCATCCATTGCTCGGGAATGCAGGCTCCACCGTGCTGGTCCCCTCCCGGCCCCCTCTGACTCGGGCTCTCTCCGCAGCGGTCTTGCTGACAGTGTGCTGCCTGAGGAGGAAGAAGAAGACGGCCAACCCGGAGAACAACCTGAGCTACTGGAACAACGCCATCACTATGGACTACTTCAACAAGCACGCGGTGGAGTTACCTAGGGAGATCCAGTCCCTTGAAACCTCTGAGGTAACGGGCTCCGAACCGGGGGTGCCCCTGGAAGGGCTGGCCCCGCTGCCGGGAAGAGCACAGGCTCCAAAGAGAGCCGGGCGCACCTGCTCACCCCCTCAAAGCCTGGTCTGCAGACCAGCAGCGGCGCACCCCGGAGGCTGCAGGCCCCACCCAGCCCTACTGAATCGGGGTCTGCATTTTATCGAGAATCCCCAGGGGCTTTATACACATGTTAAAGTTTGGGAATCACTGTTCTCGGGGCTTTGAGTTTCCAGGAACAAGTCAACAAATACCCCCTAAGGGCCCATTTTGTGGCAGGAACCCTGGGCACTATGAGGGTGAGAGCTTGCTCTCAGGGGCCCCAGGTTCCAAGATGGAGCTGGGGTGTCATTCAGAACCAGGAGAAACTAGGGAGGTCCGTGGAGAGTTACAGAGAGCTGTGGGAACCCGGAGGAAAGCCTTCACAGCGGAGGTGCCAGGAAGGATAAATGGAGCTCAGAGGTGTTCCAGCAAAGGCAGCAGCCGGGGCGAAGGTGGGGATGTGTGTGAGATGTGGCCGACGGAGGCCTTTGCCCGAAACACCCACCTGGCCAGCCGGCAAGAGAGCTGGGCTTCGCACCCAGGTGCCTTTGGCCTCAGAGTCTGTGCTCTTCCCTCGTGCAGGGAAGGTGGGCGGGGTCAGGGTTAGAGTACAAGCCCAGCTCAGCCTTGGGGTGGATTCAATCTGCTTCCCTTCCAGCAGGGCTACTCCCCGCATCGGCTGTGTTTAGAGGGATGCCACAGTTCCTCCAGCTCTCCCGGCACATGTACCCACCACAGAGCACCCCCAGGGTGACCGCACGGCCACAGAGCACAGCCCACTGCTTTCCATGGCCCGGGGGTGTGCACTCACCGCCTGCCATTCGGCTGCCAGCCTTGGGGGCGGCCAGGTGCTGTGTCTAAACTAAGCAGGTTCCCGGGTGCCGGCTCCCCGTCTGGGTGGGTGGGAGCAGCAAACACAAGTCTGGGCTGTGCGGGCAAAACCATGGTGCCCAAAAGGCACCCAGAAATGTCTCCATGCCTGCTTTTCCTCTCCCTTCCCCGTCTCTTCCTTACCTGAGCAGTCTCCTAAATAACTTTCTCTTTCACGCAGTGAGCAGTCCCCACATGGTTCCCCTGGGTGAGCATCTGTTGTGGGAGAAAGTAAAATGACAAGGCAGATCCCAGCCCCCCAAATCCCCCCACAGCTCAACCCAAAGGCCCTGTGGGGAAGCATTCCTGTCCCCTCCCTGACACGCCACCCTGTGTCCACCCCTCGGACGGGCACTCAGCCACTTCCAAATGTTGAGGGAAATTCTCGTCTTCAGAGAAGACGTTTTACCAACAGATAGCCTTTCTTACTTCACCTCTTTATTCTCCATAAAGCAGTACATACTGCTCAAAAATTGTATGTCTCACTTAAAAACAAACTTCAGAGAACTCACTGTGGCTTCTTAAAGAGAACACATCTAAGCAAGCCTGTCTTTAACCGGTCACACCAGGCCGGAGTCTGAGGACAGCCTGCAGACGCCCTGGGCCTGGACTGCCCGGTTCTGGGCTCATCCCTCCCGGGGCTGTGCCGACAGACAGGGTTTCACTTACCACCCGCTGCGCCATCACACAGATTCGGACCCGCTCACCTCCATCCCATCAGGTGCTGCAGGAAACGGGGCAGGGACTCCGACCAGGCTCTGGGAGGGTTCATGAGGGAGGAACTAGCCCTTGGAGGCTCCGGCACATGGCACTCGGCACACGGGTGGCAGGAGAGGAAAGAGGTGGGCACTGTCGGGGGTGCCAGGGGGAGAAGCAGCGGGATCTCCCAGAGGTCTGTGAGCCAGGCAGCAGGGAGAGGCTGGGGCCTGAGTGGACCAGGGTTTGCCTGTCACAGCAGTGCGCCATGCGATCTGCCGGTCAGGTGTGGCCAGCCCTTGGACTTTGACCAGGAGACCACTGCCATCTCTGGACACCTGAGGTGGGGCGATTCAGGAAGCTGGGACTCTGGTTTGGAAGCTGCTATAAAAATCTGAAAGAGCAGAGAGGGCTCTGCACCTGAGCATGGGCAGTGTAAATGATGAAAAATGTTTGGGTCGCACTCCCAGATGTAAATGATGACCCTGTGGGTCCGATTCTTTAAGAATGGCCACCGCGTGCCCCGGCTGGGTGGCGAGGCTGGTTGGAGCGTCTTCCTGTGCACCAGAAGGTTTCAGGTTCGATCCCCGGTAGGGATGGGTATGGGAGGTCACTAACTGGTTAATGCTTCTCTCCCACATCGATGTTTCCCTCTCTCTCTTTCTCCCTTCCTCTCTCTCTCAAATCAATAAATATATCCTCGGAGGCATTTTTTTTGAATTATTAAAATAAATGGCCACCTCGGGAACCTGGGCAGCTCACACCGTCTCCTCCCTCTGTCTCCCCAGGACCAGCTCTCAGAGCCCCGCTCCCCAGCCAACGGCGACTACAGGGACACGGGGATGGTCCTCGTCAACCCCTTCTGCCAGGAGACCCTGTTTGTGGGGAGCGACCAGGTGTCCGAGATCTGACTGCAGCAGCCTCGCTCTGCCCTCCCCTACCTTCTGTCTCTGAATTATAAACGTACAAATATATATTATAAATATAATCTTTGTGTAACCCTGACTTAATGAGAAACATGTCAGCTTTTTTTCCCTAAGAATTGTCAACATCTTTTTTATAAGTGTGGTTTAAAAAAAAAAAAAACACTTTACAGAACGATCCGTGGCTTTATAAAATAAAGGTATTTCTAAGCAAAGCAGTTGCATTGATTGCTTCTCTTAATAACTGCCCTTGAGCACTTGGGGGTCCCAGCAGCCCCCGGCAGGTGAGGGAATGTCACACGCACGGCCCTTGAGTGATTCTTGAAGCTCAGGTTCCTCTTGATTCCATGTGACCCCTGTCCCCACTCCTTACGCACACACACGGTGAAGGGCCACAGGGGGAAGAGGACGGCAGATCTCCGCACTAAAGCAGGAAAGGGGACCTGTCGCCCCCCAGCGAGGAGCCCCCTGGGGCCTCACACTGGCACCGTGACTGTGGAGGGTGATTCCATCCGGACAGCCAGGCAGGGGCAGCAGCCCTCCGGAATCCATGAAGGTCATCGGGCGTCTTCAGGCCACGTCCCCTAACGTCACACGGCAGGACCCTGGCTGTGCGGACCACGGGCCTGCCTGCCCCTGGTGAGGAAAGACTCCGCCCCAAGCACACGCCCCGTCCTCCGCTCTGCCCACATCTGCTTTCAACACTCGTGCCTTTCTCTGGAGAGGGTTTCGACGCGGCCCCCGCCGCCCTGAGCTTGAGGATGCTGCCCTCTTCAAGGACCACGAGTGTCTGGGGGTTCAGCTTCGCTTCCTCAAAGGCCATGGGGTTGTGTCCCTGAGGAGCGTGTCGTGTAAGAAGCCTCGAAGTGTGGAGCTGCCGTTCTCTAAACGTCCTCCTGCGATCCCATAGAAAGGAGGTTGCCGAAGCGGTCACTTGGGAGAGGAATCGTGGTGTCCCTTCTGGCACTGCAGACCCGCATGGGGGTCAGCAGATGGACTTGCCGCCCAGCTCTCGTTCCCGGTGCCCCTGCACGGCTCCCCCCCGTGGGCAGGCGGCCTCCCCAACCCACCACCCAGGCTGCGACCCGCCCGGCCAGCAGGGGTCAGACCCTCAGAGACCGGAGGGGCCTCCAGAGGTGGCCGCTTCTCCCTTTGTTCCCCCACGGGTAGTGGCTGGGACAGAAGACACTGCTTTAACACTCCCTTTCTCTAGAATAAAAATAGTTTGATAGTATATATTTTGAATATAGATGTTCTTATAGTCAGGCTGGAAATTGAACTTGAATGTTGATACACATGTTTATGTTGTTGCTGTGGTCTTGTTACCATAACTTCTTTCTCCCTACATTTTCCTTAAAAAAAAAAAGATGGCCTTCCAAAATGTGTGTTCTCAGTGTTGTATGAGCGAGCGTGACGGGCTTTTGCCGGTTGTCTCTCTCTAAACTCTGCCGACCAGGATGAAGCAGGCGCAGTGTCGCCCTGAGATTCGCTTTCCGCTGTGCTGCTGTCCGACTTTTCTCTTCACCATAATCTCTCTGTCAGCTGTGGCATTTACCGTGTCAACGTGTATGTGTATGTGTGTATATATGCAGAAAGAAATCTGTTTGTAAACTAAAATTCATATATAACATATGTAACAAAGGTACATATGTTATATATACAGATGTGGATGTATGACTTATTTTTCCTTATCGACAGAATTCAGCTACCACCTATATATAAATAAACTTATTTTATTAGCCAGAGGATGAAGTTGCTAATACATTTTGCATTCTTTCATTGTGAAAATAACTTTCAAGTCTTCCTTTAATGCCAACACCACCTAACAGCCACCTGTGTTTTTAATCTACTTTGACGGTCCAGTAGGTCTTCTGGGAATGAGGAGCTAAGAGGATTAGCAATTTATTATTTGATAAAACAAATCCTTTAAAACATGTTCATGATTTCCCCAAAAGAGAATCATCCCTCTTCAGGTCTTTGGACTCACTGGGGTCGGGGGGGTTACATGGCCTCCTCAGCCTCGCCCCCTCCCAGGACGCAGGGCTGCACTGGGGATGGCGACGGGGCGGGGAAATCCGAGGTTAACCTGGCCGTGAGCAATACCATCCTAGACAGCAGGATAGTGCCTAGGCAGCCTTTGCAGGCAGCTCAGTAGCCTGAAGCCTTCACTGAGCCTTGAATGGTAGGCACATCCTGGAGTTCGCAAGAACACAGCTCCTGGGGACCCAGGCAGCGTCTCCTGTCTCAGCGTGTTGTTGTGACACAGGCCCACGGGCACCGTGGGCCCTACAGGCCGGACGGGAGGGGGCGTTCCCAGCCAGAGTGCTCCATCTGAGTAAAAGAGGAACACCACCAGCCTTGACTTGATCGAGCTGCTTTCTTAATCTGTTATCAGTCATATAACCAACAGGGATATTTATACAGTACATGTCATCTCAAAAAGACAAAGTAGAAGGGAAAAAAAGAGTCATGGTGTCCTAAGCAGCAAGAAAGAGCATGTAGAGCATTCATTGCAGTAGGCGGCCAGGGCTTTACACTCTGCCTGTGTGCCCCGGGGTAGACACCTGCTGTTGGCGGTGGGAGACAGGGTAAGTCACTGGGTTAGGGGTCAGAGAGGCCTTCTCATCCCAGCTCGGCTGCTGTCTGAGCACGGGACCTTGGGAAAGTCACTGCAGCTGGCAGGGTCCTCGTCACATAAGGCGACAATAACCAGTCATAGGACACGCGATGATATTTCTGGAGCTGTACCACGAGCAGCCACATGGCAGGACCTGTCAGCCTCGCACCTGCCTCCTAAGGCTGAACTGAGAACTTGCCCTGGCCTCCCCCACCACCAGCAGAAACCACGCTCAGTGCAGTGCAGTGCAGAAACCACGCCGGGCACTGGGGAGGGTTCAGCACACACTCGACTCGATGCCCTGTCCCTGCTCTCCTGGAGGGGTGTTCCCACATTGCAGGGTCTGGAATAAATATCTGGCCTCCAGGTTTGGTTACTTGGTTTCTCCAGGGTAAAACTTAATTGCAGTGGCTTTTAGGTCCATTTTGGCCCCTTGGGGCTGGAAAGTCCTTTCTGAGCCTGGAGCCATGCCAACATGCTTTTGTGGATTCTGAGGACAGGGATCAAAACCCAATGAGTGTCATCAAGTCCTAACTTGGAGCACCCTTATGGAGCTTACTGGAAAACCGCCTCTCTCTGTTCTATTAATTTTCTGGCAGATGGGCAAACAGGTGTATAGGGAACAGCTAGAGCGTAACAGGTGCCCAGCATGTGTGGGACCTGAATTTGCCCAAGGTCCCTAAGAGTTAGAGCCCAGGACAGTGCGTGGAAAGTAAGGTCCAGAGAGGTGAAGCAATGCGGCCAAGGTCACACAGCCGATGGCAGTTTTCTTGGGGGAAAAGGTGCTAGGGAGGGACCTGAGGCTGTTGCCAGGACCGAGGGGGCGTGAAGGAAGGAAGAGGCTTGGTTTGCCCATCTTGAGACCCTGGGGCTGCCTCCTGCCATGGCTGGTTTACATCTGTTTCCATCCTGTCAGCTGTCGGAGCCTGTGGGCACATCCACACATTCACACACGCGGCACCTGTAAGGATGTAGGAAACCCTGGGAACACCTAGATTGATTGAGCCCGGCTCAGCCACTCTCTGCACTGGGGATCTGAGCCCCAGCTTACCCTTGGCATCAGGATTGCTGCCGTGAATGGTGGAGGAAAGGCTGCCTTGGATGTGGTGGTGTCAAGGAAGTGGGGCTGGGGAGTGGGGCTGCCTAACGTCTGCCGTGCCCTCTCTCAGGTGGTGAAGTGCACACACCCAGAAGAGCCCCACACCACCACCACCACCACCACCCCCCCCCCGGCCTCCCCCACCACCAGCAGAAAAGTCTGGGCATCCAGGCACATGACCCTACAGGGACCGCGCAAGCGCCTCTCCGCAGGTAGCCCTGGCCAGGCCCAGTTCTCTTGGCTCAGTGAACGATGGAAGCTCACGGAAAACTGCAGACAAAGCAGCCCTGGGTACAGGGGAACTTCCAGAGAGGTCCATGACTGGGCCACGGGGACGCTGGGGCTGGAAACCGAGAGCCACTGGACTCTGTAAAACCACCAGGCTCAGCACAGGCAGGAGCAGCGATGAGCTCAAGGCGGGTGGTGGTGGATGCGCCCACCGGCGCCAGCATGTCCCTCCAGAGGCACAGGGTGTCCTTCAGGGGAATGCGGTCGTCGTCTTCCCTGGATAGCCCCCCAGCCTCCAGGACCAGTGCCACAGGTGGCCTTGTCCGAGCCCCCAGGGTCTATGTAGGAATGGCACCCAGTGGGCACACAGGCGGCCTGGTTGCCCGGGTGACTCGCCGCGCCCTGGGCATCAGCAGCGTCTTTCTGCAGGGGCTGCAGAGCTCAGGCCTGGCTGTGGCGCCCGCTCCGAGCCTGGAGAGGGACCTCGGTGCCGTTGAGGACCTGGGGGGCTGCCTGGTGGAGTACATGGCCAAGGTGCATGCCCTTGAGCAAGCAATCCAGGACCTGGAGGCACAGCTGCGGATGCACCTAGAGAGCAAGGCCGGGCGCCGTGAGAACTGGGGTGCCCTCAGGGCCTCCTGGGCCAGCAGCTGCCAGCAGGTGAGTGCCCAGGCTGTGCCCGAGGGCTCTGCAGAGGGTAAGGGGTGGGATGCCGACGGCTGCCTGTCACACGTCTCTGGGAGGTCATTATCGGAGGACACTTGGGCTGAGGCAGGGGCAGGGGGTATGTGGTCAGGCCAGAGAAACTGACTATAACCCCCTCTGCTTTCATGCTACATACATGAAGGACGGCAGTAACAGCAGTGAGGACTGCCGTTGACCGAGGTGTCCTGGGGGCCAGACCCACATGAGTCCCTCAACACGCAGTCTCCTCTGGTGTTTAGAGCGGTGCTGTGCGGCAGCTCATTCGCTGATTGCATTTTTCAGGTGAGAAAACTGAGGCACCAGGTTATTTGGCCAAGATTAGGCAGCGAGTAGGGAGGTGGAGCTGAGATTTTTAACCCGAGTGTTTCTGGCTCCAAAGCCCACATTTGTCCCATCACCTGGGGCTGCCTCTGTGACCTTTGTGTCAGGAAAGGGCATTCACAGCCACCGCCAAATGGAGTGATGTCAAATGGATGTAACGCCAAAAACAAGGGGCAGGTGACAGAACGGTCCTGTGCCCATCCACCCTCACGCTGTCTGACAGAAACACGAGCCACACAGATAATGTCCAAGTGTCTATTGCCCACAGTGGGGAAAAGAAGTAAAAAGAAACAGGTGAAGTTAATATTGTATTACATCTTATTTAACTCAACATATTCTAAGTGTGACTCCAACATGTAATCAATATAAAAGGTAGTAATGAAACAATTTACCTCCCAATAGAACTTTTCGCAATGATGGAAATGTCCTGTGTCCACACTGCCCGTACTGGCCACCACCAGCCACAAGCGGCTCCCGAGCACTTGAAATGTGGCTAGTGAGAATGAGGCATTGAGGCTGTGTATCTCGTTTGATTTTGTTACTTTAAATGGCCGCATGTGGCCAGCGGCTGTCTCATTGGCCAGGGTGGGATGCAGAGGTTTCCTCTGTCCCTCGCTCGGTCAGGACCCGCTCGCAGGGGGCTTTCTGCAGAGCTCCCAGCCTGTCCGTCACATCGGGCCTGCTGCCAGGGGCTCCAGCACTGGGGCTCCAGCCAGCACGGCACAGCTCATCTGTCTCTGTGTGGGTGGCTGCCTTCTCTCCTCCCCCTGCCAAACATGCCGGCCTTGGGGTCCCTTGGGACTAAAGCACCCTCTCACCCAGCCAGGACCTGCCACTTCAGACCCCTTGCCCCCTGGGGCCCAGCACACAGCCCCCCAAGATGAGGTCACAAACCTTCATGTGTGTGGCTGGGTAATGCTGAGCAGACACACTCAGGGGCTTCCCCCTTGCGCCCCCCCCACCCCTCCCCCACCATCCATTTCATCCCAGCATGCCTCTTCTTCACTGTCAGTCAGCGCCCAGCTGGCAGCGCAGGACCTGCCACGCTGTCCCTCCTGCTTTGCCCTGCAGCTGAGGTTCCACTCGCATCCAGCTGGGCCGAGGGAGGGCCAGCTGAGAGCAGCCTGGGCCTTAGTGCCGCCAAGTCTGAGGCAGCTGCCCCTTCACGACTGACTGCAGCGGTCCCGGTTCCAAATGTGCGTCCCATAAACCACCAGCACATCCCTGCACAGGCCATTTTTCAGCACCTGCAGGACGATTTCTTGCATTCTGGTGCACACAGACTTTTCACAAGAAGTCAGGCAACCTAGTTCCCAGGTCAAAAGCATGGCCACAGAACTCAGCAGATACTGCCTCGGTCTGGCTCCAACAGGCCACAGGGGCCTGGGCAACTCCCTCAGCCCCTCTGAGCCTCGGTTCCTCACCTATAAAATGGGTATAATAATGCCACGGGTAGTCCAGCAAATCCGTGGGTCAGTAAGTTACCTGGTTCCTGCCTTCAGGGGGACTGCAGACTAGACACCATCCAGGGAGAGCCGTGCAGCCCCGGCACCACAGGGGAGAAGGCCAGATGCCAAGACGTTCACTAGGACACAGGCCATCAGAGTCCCAAATGAAGGCCGTTTCCTCCTCAGTGACTGTAACTGACATCCTAGGGATGAATACAGAGTTCTCTCTCTCTTCTTGTTTGTTTAAACAAGGACTTCTTGAAGGTACAGTTAAACCTATAACGTGGAGTTATCTGTGTCACACAGCCCAGCCTTCAGTATTAATATCTGTTCCGTGACAAAGAGCAAAAGAAAATGCTACGCATTTGAGAAATAACACAAGATTTTCTTTTGTTGCTATTGCAAAACCGACTGACGCTGCCCGCCCCCCTCCAGGCCCTGACATGTGGCTGGGACATGGCTTCGCTGGCCCCTGCCCTCTCTGTCCATGTCCCCACCAGCCACCACAGTGCCTCTTGGACACGTGGGATTTGACTACACTGTGTTGCTGCCCCAAACCCTTTTGGACTGGCCGTCAGTGACTGGACACCATGATCCATGGCTCCAGTCTCAGTCCACGAGACCCTTCTGAAGCCAGCCCTTTGACCAGGCCACACCAGCGCCCCCTGCTGCTGCTGCTCTGCGATGCCTTCCTGCTCCTTCTGTGACTTCACGGCAGCCGGCACCCACATCCACTGTGCAGCTACCCTGTTGTCCCGTGGTCATTTGCATGTCTACCCTTCACACGCTAAGCCCACTCAGGCAAGGACAGACTGTCCCCCACAAGGAGGGGACTGAAAAGACACAAACTGGGGGTCAGGTGAACTGATGTTTGGGTGTTGGCTCTGCCACCCCTAGCTGGGTGACTTTAGGTCAGGCACTTAACTTCTCTGGGCCTGTTCCCTCGGCTGTGGTTTGGGGATCAGGATCACTGTATCTATTTTGCAGAATGGGTAGGGGGGTAGCTGAGTGCAATGTGCCTGTAAAATCAGTGTCTAACAGCTTAGGAAGACCGTGTCCTTCCCGGCATTACAGGTACCTAGAGCCACGTACATGATCGATGCTCAGCCAGGAGCTGATCTCCCTTCCAATCCTGGTTCTGCCACCGGCTCAGACCAAGCACTCCTCTGCTCCACATCCCCCTTTCCCCACCTTCAAAATGCACGATCACCTCCCAGGGTCGCTGTGAGCAGGAAATGAAGTAAGGTGCAGGAAGGGGCTTCAGGAACTGTGCGCCGTTGTGAGCATGCAAACAGGCCGTCCAGAGTCAGAGTGCTTGTTCCCTTGGACCTCTGGCCAAGGACTGGCTGCTGGAGGCCATGCCCCACCTTCAGGGCCTCCACCCCTAATGCTGTCCTCTTCCCAGCAGCCACAGGGACCCAGCTCCCTCCTCAGCCCTGTCCATCCCCAGACGGAAGGCCACACTTCTGGCTACTCAGAAACAATGCCCCTCCTGCTGCGGAGTGAGGCCTGCTGCCTTCCTGGGCCTCGTCATGGAGCCCTAGACCCCCAGTCAGCCAGTCCCCCATGTGGCAGGGGTCAGGAAACCAGTCTATGGGGTGGGGGGGACTTCTCCCTTCCCTCGTCACTCACTGTGTACCTGTGAGAGCCTTGGAAGAACTGGGGTCAGGGCCAGCTTCACAGGTGTGTGACCACCACCATCCTTTAGGGCCCAGTGCTCAGAGGGCTGAACTTGGAGTTTAAGGCTCTGTAGTCGCCATCTTGAAATCCTTAATGACTTCATGTGAGAATTTGTGTTTGTAAGTGAAGTCGATGGGACAGTGGAGTGTGTCTGTGTGTCAGGGACTTGGAGCCTCAGCTCAGACGGGCCCCACCTCCTGTGTCCATACCACAGGGATGAAATTAGCAAAACCCAGACTGTGGGAAACTGTAGGACTCACAAGACCCAATCTTTCCAACAAGTAACAATTACAAGGTGTGTGTGGGGCGGGCGGGGGGGGGAGCGGCAGAGAGATGGAGTGGAGAAAACTATAAATTGAAAGGCACACACGGAGCCTTTGACATGGACTTTATTTGAACCATTAGTCAAACAAACTTTAAAAAAGTACAGATTAAACATGAGGAAAAATGAACTGTGCATTTAATGATATTGGGGAATTGTTACTAACTTTTAGGTGCGGTAATGCTTGTGAAGTTATGTGCTCTTGTAAAGTATCTTTACAGTTTAGTAATACATACTGAAATATCTGAAAGAGAACTAATGCAGTATCTAGGATTTGTTCAATCTACTCTGAGGCACAGTGGAAAATTGAGGGGTTTAGGCAAAATACAATAGGCCTTGGTTTACGGTCATGGAAGCTGGCTGATGGGTGTGTGGGAATCCATTACCCCAGTCTCTCCTTTTGTGTAAGTTTGAACTTTTCATAACAAAAATGCAGATAGAATTTCTGCCTCATAGGGTTGGTCCGTTATTTACATATAATGGAATTATGTATGTAAATTTCCGGGTGCCTAGTCAACGCCCAGTTAAAGTCTGCGGAATAACCCTGGAGATCCAGACATGAAATAATGAGTGGTAAAGTAGCAGTGTTTCCCTAAAGCGTTCATGAGTTACTCAACCCACGCGTGTGGTGGGGGGTCAGAAAGGAAGTGAGGCCTTGCCTGGTCCTGAGCGAGGACCAGGAAGCAGAGGTGACATGTAAGACACCAAGGGCCAGGAGATGGCCCTCCTGCCCAGGGCCCAGCGTGGACAAAGGCTGGGCGTCGGGACAGGGCGTGGCTCCCTGCGAGGCCGTCTGCGTGTGGGGCAGAGATGTCCCGGCTATGTAAGAGAAACCTTACATTGGCCACTTGTTAACAGTGGCCAGAGGGACTTTGTTCGGGCCACTGTGGTAACAGAGGGAGACTGCGTTCAGAACGGAGCTCGCGGGCATGGAACTGAAGGCTTTTGAAACACAGGGGTTGGTTAAGAAAAATTCTGAAGGAGGCTCAGAGGGGACGGTTTATACGACTAGGCCATCTGTGTTTGTTCACCGGAGCTGACCCGGAGGAGAAACACTCTTCCCCTGTCCTTCCGAGGAGAGCGCAGGGAGCTGGACGCCCATGGCAGCCAGCATTGCGCCCTCCCGGGAACTGGGGGACGGGGGTGGGGGGGTGGGGGGGTAGTTCCGCGCAGACGTCCGGAGG